ATAATCATTACAGGCAATGACAACTCGAATAAGGAGTTGAAGCAGTTTTTGCAACAAAAATTTCAGACTAAGGATTTGGGACACTAGAAATATTTCTTGGGTATTGAAGTTACTAGATAGATTTGGAATCTCCCATTCCCAATGTAAGTATGTTCTAGACTTACTAGAGGAGACAGGATTATTAAGAGCTAAACCAGTTGACACACCTATTAATCCAAATGTGAAGATATTATATGGTGAGGCAGAGCCCTTGGATGATCAAGGGAGGTACAGGAGACTAGTTGGCAAGCTCATACCTCACCATTATGAGACTAGACATTTCATTCAGTATGGGTGTGCTTAGTCAGTTCATGCAACATCCCATAACCAGCCACTGGGAAGCAGTTATAAGGGTATTGAGGTATGTGAAAGGTGCTCCTGACTAAGGGTTGTTATATAAGAAGGGAGGTTAGTTGCCCCTAGAAGAGTATTCAAATGCAAACTAGGCAAGGTCCAACATAGACAGAAGGTTACCAAGGTTACTACAACTTCCTTGGAGGAAATTTAATTTCTTGGAAAAGCAAGAATCAAAATATAGTTGCTAGAATTAGTGTATAAATGGCTTATACTACTTGTGAGTTGGTGTGGTTAAAGCACTTGTTGCAGGAAATTGGGAATTTGGGATAGATGTACCCTCTCCTATGAAGTTGTTTTGTGATAAGAAAACTGCCATCCACATATCCACTAATCCAGTATTCCATGAGAGGACCGTACACATAGAAGTGGGCTGCCATTTTGTGAGAGAAAAGGTTGCAATTGGAGAAGTTGTTACACCCTATGTGAAGTTAGAATCTTAGAAGATTAGTTAGCTGACCTCTTCACCAAAGGTGTAAATCATGCAAGAATGAATTCTATTTGTAGAAATTGGAGCTTTATGATATTTATGTTCCAACTTGAGGGGGAGTATTGAACTGTCTTTATTTACCCTCTTTTCTATTTATGGTTGGCAGGGGCATAGTTGGGATTTCATATTTTGTTATTCTTCTCTTATTTTTTAGTTAGGGTTAAAGTTATCATTTGTTATTTATTAGTAAATCAACAAAAGTGGGCGGCAGTTAGAGAGACAAATGGACTTTCGATCTCTACTGCTTTTAGCCCTAGTTCTTCTCATACCTCTCTCTACCCTCTCTTTCAAGCTGAGACTTCTAGGGAAGATTGCTACTGGTGTTCCCTCTTATTTTATTCTAATTTTTATTTAATTTGAAGAACCATAAAGAAAAATATATATCAAAATAAACAGTTCAATGGGCACTACATTGGGGGCAAATGGTTAGAGACCCATTAGGTAAAAACTAACAAAGATGAAGATTGGTGTTTCAGGAGAAAATATCAAATTTTCAATCAAACATGTTATTTTCAGGAAATTTCTATATTTGCGTTCTAGGAGCTTTCAAAGTTCTGGTTTGTTTTGTAATGTCAATTTTAGGTGTTTCAAGGTCAATTAGGATGTTTGGGATCAAATTACAAGCTTTTATTATTTTTCGCAAAACTCGGTATTCTAGGAAAGTCAAGCTGGAAGTCTGGAGTGTATAAAAATAGCATTGTAATGGCACAGGTTTAACCTTTGAACGAAGTTTATGCTAATTCTTTGATCGCTTTCTCAAACTTCTCTTGTGGATTCAAGAGTGCTATTAACTAGAACAATACAGCGATCTTGTTCTTCACCTTTTCACCTTACTGTTAAATAAATTACTTGGTATCAGTGCAAGGATTTCTTGGTTCAATGCCCAACAACAAATTGGGAACAAACAACTGTGTTGATGCTCACAGGATCAAACCATAATGAATGGCAATGTTTGAAGCACACCAACATGAAAACAAATAACTTATGCAGGAGATGCAAACAGCTATCACATAGTTGATGGAAGTCATAGAGCACAATCAAATTCATGATCACTTAAGGCCTCAAACCAGTTATGGGCTTCTTGGTCATCCTGTTCATAGAAATGCACCTAACGCTCGACATAAGCTACAAGCCCATGAGTAAGAATCAAGTGACAAGGAGATCAGTGAGGTCATCTGTTAACGGTCTTCTCTGATTTCGTATACAGCTTCAAAATGAGTCATTTTGGCAGCATATTGATGAGTAGTGTGATACCACCGTTTTACTAGTGGCAGCCATTTGCTCCATGAGTGAGGTTGTAGGTTGGCAAAGCAACAAAGATATGTTTCAGGGGCTCAATTTAACACCTCCATCTAGTTGTTGGTTTGGCAGTGATAAGCCGAATTCATACTTAGTTAAGTTCCCTAAGGTGAAACAACTCTTTGCAAGACTAGCTAGTGAAATAGTTTTCATAACTGATGATTGAAGTAGGCGTTCTGCGGAGCTGAAAAATCCCATCCATGAAGACTCAGGCTAATCGGTGTTTTTTTTTTTTTTGATCAACAACTCTGAAAAGATTTCATTAATTAGAAAACTTTAGGATACAACAAGAAGTTGTGAAAGAAGTCAGCTTTAGTAAGCTGACCCGGGACAGAATTACAAATGTGCCCAAAACATATGTGTTCTTTGAACCCCTTGCTTTGCTAAGCTATCTACCAAACTGTTGGCAGATCTCCTAACCCATCCCACCTGGACTGACATGTTCCTTGACATCCATTTAAGTCTTCGGAATTCATTCTTCAACTGCCATGTCACTCCTTCCCCTTTCTGCAACCATTTTATCACAGTTTTTGAGTCTCCCTCGATGATCAATCTATTAATATCCAACTCTTTAGCCTTCTCAACCCCATATGCTGCAGCTAGAAACTCTGCCATTGCCACATCACCCTACTCCACAAGACCAGAGTACAGAGCAAATAATTTTTCCATTTTCATCTCTAATGCCCCCCCCCCCAATGCCTGAAGGATCTGGATTACCCACACAACTCCCACCATAGTTCAGAGTTTCTGGGAATCTTCTATATAGTGAGGTATTGTTGTTGTCTGCACAAGCTTTGACAATTGGCCAGCCATGTTACTGATTTGGAACCTTGCAAGCAATTACTCAGAGCAGCCACGAACTACCTCCAATTGGGCTGAGGATTGCTCTCCCGAAACCACCAGTACCATTCCACTACTCTCCCTTTGAACCCAATACTAGCTACAAGAACCCAATGCTCCTCTTGCATTTTTTGAAGATCAAAATATTGACGATAAGGAGGAGCCAAGCATCAAGGTTAGCTTTGTTAAATCTAGGGATGTTAATCTTTAAGTTTCAAGGAAGGTTGGTTGGTAGGTCTGTCGGTGGAGCAGGTGCATCAGCTAACCATTGATGAGAATTACCTGTATTTAACCAATGACTAGGCTCTTCCTAAGGGCTAAAGGAGCTCAACTTCTCTACGAACTTCGCCAGCCATTGGGGACCTCCTGTTGACTCTTCTTCTAGGTATTCATCCTTGCTTCTAATCCCAATATCCCTCTGTTGGGTGGATCAAATGACTCTGATACCAAAATGTTAACGACCTCCTCTTATTGTGGCTTTGGGTTGGATTTGGGTTGACTGTTGCCTCAGTGTAAGGGTCTTTTGGATGTGCCTCTCTCTCTCAGGTGATATCTTATCACCTTTCCTTTGTACTCTTTTTTCTTTTTAATAAAATCTTTTTTTCTGATTCTTCAAAAAAAAATTGTTGAGAAAAGAGTTTAGGATTACCCCCAAGCTATTGCACCAAAGGGCATTACTCACAAAGGCCACAGTTTGGTCAAAAAATAGAGGTTTAATATGATAATGATTTCATTAACAATAAAGTGAGTACATATATATATATAGAAATATCATGACTCAGTTGTGGCAAACTCCAACATCTAATCATTATCGATGATTCCATAATCATGGGTGGTTTTGTATTGGTCGAATCATGCATGGAGATGACTCCGGTGGCATGCCAATCTATTCTTACAAGGGATGTTTCTGTAGTTGAATGGTGACAAATGTTCTTTGGCATCAAAGACCCATATCATCATCCTAGGAGGACAAGGAGATAATTGGCATTGAAAGGATTATGGATCTTAGAATTTCAAAGATGGCGTGATGAATGTGGATCTTCCAAATTTCACTGCTAGTTCTCGACTGCCTTCTAGAATCTGAGGTGTTTGTTGATTACATGGAGATTCAGAGAAGGAAAAAGTTAAGCTATAGCATACAAGCTTAGGAGTGGAACCTAAGCTTGGTAGGAGCAACTACAACTTTCTGGAACATGCCGAGTTAAAGACACATACTGCTCATTGAGATGTGTTAGAGGCAATTTGTTATCATCATCCAATAACAAAATCCATATTATGCTCTTGTGATATTACTCCCAAGAGGTATTGATAGAAAAATTATTATTCCCAAGAGGTCTTTCCTATTTTTCCCACTTGTTAGTTGCAGACTTCACCCCCGAGCCCTATTATAAATAGGCTTCAAACCTTCCTACACCAAGTGTCAGATTAATGATGTTCCCTAGGCCAAGAGGTGTTTGGAAGCATGGCTTGGTCTTTCTCATAACATACATGAGGCTTGAAAAAGTTCAGAAACAGAAATTGCAGAATCCAGGAATGAATAAAAAGAAACGTGAAGTGATTGAGAAACCTGAACAATTATCTAGTAGGTTGGTAGTTCATTAAAAAATCAAAGAGTAGACCATAAAGACAAAGTAAAATACATGCAGATAACCAAGATGACCTCAGGATATGAACCTTGAGGACCAAAACTTTAATCCGAAATACTGCTAACCTCATCTTACAATAAGGTTTTCTTTCCTGTGCTTTCTATTACTTATTCCCTTTTGGATGGATAACCTCACTATTTGCTGGATAGAATTCTTGTTAACTACAAGAACTATAAATGAGCTCTTCCATTTTACTGCTTCCAAAAATCATTGGAAAAAGCATAGTTTTATGACTGTTAATTAACTTGAGAACCAGATTAGCAAGTTCATAGCATGTAAAGCCTAAATGTACAAGATAACATGAAGAAAATCAAGTAAAACAGAAATCTTACCTCGTATGTATTCCAGTCTGACATTCCGAGAGCCTCTATCCGGCACTGAAGACATGCATAACCCTTCGATCTGATCTCATGTTGCCAACAGATTAAAATGAAAAAGAAAAAAATCTTTGCAGTATCTTCAGTTGTGGAGTTGAACAACCCAAAAGAAAATTACTCTCAAAAATCAAACCCTAACTTCGACCCCTAAAAATAAATAGCAGAGGCTCCAAAGAAGCAAAGCAATCTCTTCTCTGTTTTAACAGGTCATAAAGAAAACACCATTATATTCCATAAACGGCATGTTCGTGCTAAGTTTACCACAAAACCAAAAAGAAAAACATCTGCCGGGAAACCACCTTTCAAGCTAATCAAGTACAGCCCGATGACGACCGGAAAACCAGAACGCTTGCCCTTAGAAATCGCCGGAGATTAGTGGTAGCTTCTAATCGTCTCGAGCGGACTACGGAGTAATAATTTTTTTATTTTCTCTAACCAGATAAATTAATAGAAGAGTGTCGTGCGCGCGACGACACGTGGCTATGTATCAAAACAATGGCGGCAGAAAGGACTGCCTAGAGAACTAGAAAAGAATACATATCAGGATTCGTGGTCCAGAAACACGGTATGGGATACGATCTGTTGCTTAAACGTTATTGGTCCACGTTTGCTTTTACTTTTTGTTTTCCGTGAAACGTTCAGCTAAATAACTCGTTAAATGAATTACGGACGGCAGAGTAGAACCCGTGAACGCACATGGTGTTTTTTTGAAGGTACATGGTGAACGCACATGGTGTTAAGTAGAAGGTACATTTACTGCTGCAATTAAGGTCACAGAACTACCATGCGACCTTTCAATCAAACATGAACGCACTGTCAAGTTCTTTCGAGCAAGATTTAGCTTTAACTCCTTATAGTTAGGGGGCATTCAGTTAATCCATTTTCCTTATTTTCCTGTCTTTATAGTTAGGGGTGAGCATTATTTGGTTAAAATTAAAAATATTAAATCGAAAATTTCCATTTCAGTTTTTTCTGATTTTTGGCTAATTTAGTTTTTAGGAATTTCAGTTTTTTAGAGTTAGAAATTCGGTTAATCAAAAAAACGAATTAACTGAAATTCATTATATAATATGTAATATATAATATACAATATATAATATGCTATATATTTATATATTAATATATTATATATAATGTATTATAATGAAATTCAATTTCATAATATATGTTATAATATTTATAAGTTATAATATATAATATTATATATATTAATTAAATTCGGTTTTTAACCAAAATAACTGAAAATTGAACCGAAAATTTTGATTTCGGTTATTTTGGTTTTCTTGTAATTTGTTTTCGGTTCAGTTTTCATTTTTTAATTTCGGTTTTTAATCGAATAAATCAAATGCTCACCCCTATTTATTGTTTATTTTTAAAGGCATTTATCTTTTCTATGTTTTTATTTTGAATATTTTGAATTTTAAAATTGAACAAAATAATTCAAGTGGGTAATTTTGTTTTATACTTTTAATTCTCTCTCCTTTTTCTTATTAACTCTTTAATTATCTCTCCACATCAATTATGTTATTAACTCTCTCCTTTAATAACTCATTCTACTAATTATCTCTCCTCTCTATTATTCCATTAACTTTATCTATATACATTTTATTCTATCCTCTCTCTCTCTCTCTCTCTCTCTCTCTCTCTATCTATCTATCTATCTATTTGTCTATCTATCTATCTATCTATCTATCTATCTATCTATCTATCTATCTATCTATCTATCTATCTATATATATATATATATATATATGTATGTTTGTATGTATGTATTGTAATTTTTAATAAAAATTAATTATATTGAAATGGAGATATTCAATGCTAAACAATCTAATTCTATTTAGAATATAATTTTAAATTTTAAGTTAATGAATCAAGTAATTTGCATTGCATTTCAAAATAAATATTATTTACTTCACCCAACAAATAAAATTGGTATTTTAAAAATTGACTTGGAGGATGAATAGTTTTAGCCCCTATGTCACTATTCAACGATTCAACAATCCAGGTTGGATGAGTCAAACCATGACATATCATCCGTTTATATATGTAGAATACAAGGTCTATTTGTTTTTTAATTTTTTATAAATATAAGAATCAAAATTGAAAGATCATCCCTAATTAGACAACCAAGTACAAAGTAAATACAAGTATTTTTTTTAATTATTTTCATCATATGTACATGTTTTTTATAAAATAATAAATAATATACCAAATTTACAAAAATGCAATAATATATTTATAAATAAATAAATAACACATATATGTATTATATATTTATATAAATAAATATATAGCGTATATCAGATCGGACTGGGGTGATCCGAACCAAATAGGATCAGATACTAGATCGGATTGGATCATGATCTGATCCATTTGCACCCCTATTCAAAGTATCAGAAATGCAAGATGTATCAGTAAGGTAATTTTAAGAAGCATATTGGGATACTCTTTGGATACGGATAAAAAATCAAAATACACATAGATACACTAGAAAATTCAAATAAATCATAAAAATAAATTAATAACAACAAATATAATTTTAATAACTATAATAAAGTTATTTAAACATAAAAACCATATTTTAATGGTTTATAACTTTATATACATTGTGAGATCAGAACACATTTAATAACCATTGAAAAATGATGGGAGAATTAAAATTTATTGTATTAATTTTCATAAAATCAATATAGTTTGTATTATTTTTTATTAGTATATAAATTTTAGGGTCATTTACTAAAACACCCCTATAGTTTCATGAATTTACTAAAACCTATCATATAGTTTGTATTTTACTAAAAGACCCCTTATAGTTATCAATTTACTTAACCCACCTTCCATGAGATGAACGTGGAAAATAACAGTTTTAAACCTAGCATCCATTCAAATAAATTTAACGAAAAGAAACTAAAAACAAAACTACAATTTTGCCCCTAGTAAAACATGGACAACCAATCTATTCTTCTCTATTTGGTCAATTTTGATTTCTATACAAAAGTGTTAGGGGTACTTTTGGAATAAACAACCATGGATTTGTACCCTTGAACATTTTTCACTCATATTAGGAGTACTTTTGGAATAAACAACCATGGGGGAACATTTTCTACTTAATTTAGGTGATCATGTTACGATATTCAGATGGCAAAATAAATATTTCTTAATAAAAGTTTATTAAGTAAATAGGTTGAAAATTATAAGGGGTGTTTTAGTAAAATGTAAACTATAGGGTAGGTTTAAGTAAATATGTAAAACTATAGGGGGTGTTCTAGCAAATGACCCTAAATTTTAATAATCAATGATAGACTTATGATCATTACAAGCTAATGATTAAGGTTTGAACCCTCGACTTGTAGTTTTTATAGTCAATTTAAAGTTGGTTTAATGTATATGATAAATTTGAATTTGAACTTAAATATTTCTTAAATGTAGCATTAAATAAAGTAGTCAATTTAAGTCATGTTTAATGACATATAATAAATTTGAATTTCAATTTAAACATTAAATAAAGGAGTTAATTTAAGCATGTTTAGTATAGCATTAAATAAATGAGTTATTAGAGAGATTTGAGTAATTGTAGGGGTTATAGATAGTAATTATAGGAATTATTAGAGAGAGAGAGAGAGGGGTGGTAATAATTCAGAATATATGGTCGATACATACATAGTATCAACATGTATTGGGTTTGTATCGGCCGATATAGATCCGAAATGATCTGATACAAGCATGTATCGAACCGATACAGACAAAAAGAAATGAAACTCTTGACTTCATTATGTTCTACATATCGAACTCCTACAAAAGCGATACCAATATGGACCGATACGTTACAAAATTTTAAACCTTGTGTTCAACTACCCATGTCAAATAGGGTAAGTTTTAGGAAACTTGGAATTAAAAAATAGGGTCAAGTAATGGTTTGAATGGTCCAATTGTTCGAGTCAATGACAAGTTGAAACATTGAATAAAACATCATAAAAATTATAATCCATTTATATTCCATTTGAAAATAATAAAACTAAATTAAATATGGTAAAAATAATTTATTAAGTTAAATAAAATAGAAATAATTATTAATTATTGTTATTGATAAAAATATTTTTATTAATATAATAAAAATAATTTAATTAATAAAGGAATAAGATTAATTAAAAACTAACATCAATTTAAAATTAATAAAAAACTAATAAAAAACTATCTAACAATTATTAATTTTATAATTAATTTTTACTAATTTAAAACCAACCTAAGTTCCACTAAAAAAACTTAATATAGTTATTTAAATCTAATAATGATTAATAAAAACAAAAATATTAAAAAATTATTAATTTTAAATATAGTTTCATTAATTTAAAATCAACTTAAACTCTATTTAAAAGTAGGGAAAATTATAAAAACCTCTTTGGGTCTTCTAACAATTCTATGAAACTCTCTAATGTTTTGACTTTAACAAAAACCTCTCCTATTGTTTTGAAAAAATGTGCAAATACCTTCCTTTTGTTAGCATTCCAAATAAAAAAATCTGATGAAATGCATTAATTTGTTTAAATACTTAATTTACCTTTAATCAACTTCATTGACATGTAAATTTACTAAAATACCTTGAAAAAAAAGATTTTCTTTCCTTTACGCCACTTTAGGTTGTGTTTGTTTGCAGTGTAAATAACGAACTGGTGTTATATCACACTTCGATTTAGTTCTGTAGCCATTTGGATAGAGTGTAATTAAACACCAAAAATCGATGTAAAAATCCACTCACATCAAGTTTTACATCGATAATCAATATAAACGTTAACTTCAATAAAAACGATGTAAACATTTACAACGATAATCCTAGTTTCCATTTACATTTTTTAACCCCAAACTTTACTCCTGGTGGAGGGGGTCACCAATAAATTTTATTAATTAAAACCACAAAAAGTCTATGAGGGGGAAATAAAAACCTAATCCCTTGCAAAAACATATACAAGGAGACCAAAAGCTCATATAATACAATTTTGTCTAATGGTCTCAGTAGGAAAATTAAATAAAACCTATTTACAATGTATGAAAGGAAAACCAAAACCATCCTCTCAAACCAACCTCTGAATATCTAAAGATAAATCATTAAAATTATTGAAGTAAGAATCAAAACCGTTTAACACAAGCTAGTTTTGCTAAGCTATCGGCCACCTTGTTACCTTCTTGATAGTTGTGAGTAATTTTAATGTTACACACCTGAGAAAGTAACAAGAAAATCCTCTTGATCCAATGGCTTATGTGTCAAGGCAATTTGCTTAAACCTTTAATGATATCCACCATGATTTGAGAGTGAACAAATTGTAATCACATAATCTGAGAACTATTCATCCAAGACCAAGCAATCCATTATTGCTCGACATTCTGCCATAATATTTGTCCCAACACCATAAGCATTTGAAAATGCACATAAAATTTGGTTTTTTTGGTCCCTCAAGGTGTCACCACCTCCACATATACCCAA